AAGAATAAATCACACGTGTAAAACGGGCTAGAGCAAAAACTAGGATAAATGGTGTGTATAGTATTATCAGTTATATTTATCGACGATTACACATTCCATCTATATCACAAACTGCGCAGTCGTTGTGTACAGCCTACAGTACGTACAGGTGCTCCACACGGATTGAATGGATATCCGGGAAGACTACACAGTTATTTATAACGCTATTCTGTCCATGACTCTACACGTCATGGGACCATGTAACTCCCATATTTCCGAAATATTGGAGTATTTCGTTAGATGATAATTATGTCCTTATCATGGCTACGATGCACTTTGCGAACACGTGTCTCCAGAAAATAAAGGGTAGGTTTTTCGAAATTCCATGGGCAAGAATGAGTGCGGCGCGACAAACACAATAGTCGATAGTGAAACTCAGTAACAAAATCAGCTGGTGATTGCGGAAGAAACGGGCATTCGAGTACTCAAACATCGTAAACATCTTGCCGCTCTGCACTTTGTGAAAAGATGCCACAGCAGCCATACGTTTGTGCACTCGTAGTAGAAACGTGGTAAAACAATGTAGCGCAAACGTTGCAAGACGGAGACTAGCGCATAATGCGTGCTGCTGAATAAATATTTAAAGGCTAGTAAAGTGTTAAAAACAGCTTCGTATGTCCCGGTACGTGTGCCACTTGCATATGTATTAATAAATTAATAATAATAATAATATGCAAGCAGCAGATGTACAGTGATGTACACTGTACAGTACATAATTGCTTTCAACAGGACGGCAAAATGCAAGGAACGACAGAGAGAAAAAGCGATCATATCGCCTTCGCTATCTGCCAGTTAATCTTGCAATTATTATTATAAACAGTTTTTTGCAACACGTTTATCACACACCATTGGCACCACGACGACATTGACCTGCTGTCGCTGGTAAGTAGGCGCCGCGAAGCCGGTATTCAGCCTTTCCAGTTTTTTTCTGATTGATAAGCTTGGCAGAATTGGCACGTGAAAAAGATGCCACAGCAGCCATACGTTTGTGCACTCGTAGTAGAAACGTGGTAAAACAATGTAGCGCAAACGTTGGCACGTGTTGTTTAAAATATTATGCTTTCTCTGCATTCCGATGCGGATAGACGTTTCAATTTCTTTCCCTGTTCTCCTCGATTGTGGGCAGCCGGCACCTCGGCTCGCATTCTGTGGGGCGGTTTTTTTTATTTCTTATATTTTTATTTACGTATTTATCCGTTATCTGTGCAGGTAGTATAATTATGTACTGGTACTTATTGTTGTTGCTGCATTTTTGAAATTCACTTGCGTTTTTTCCAATCAGTCTGGATTCTGCGCTTGATGTATGTATAAGCCGGTATTTGGATTTAGTACCGGAAGTACTCCATACAGAAAAGTTCTTAATTGCAAAGTTGAGTCAGAATCTGTATGTTGCGGCCGGTAACTTTATTTGCAGTAACTGAGTGTAATCCGAGCAGAGTTCACATAGAGTTCATTCGGTTCGTGAAGCAACGAGTATGTACGACGCAGGCAGTATGTTTTTTATAATCATAATTATTTTACGAATACCGCTCTGTTCGTACAGGTATAATTTCACAATCCACCGTTAATAACACGATATACACATTTGTATATCGTGTGTAAACGAAGTAATTAATCTGTAGATATTCTTATCGGCTAAACCGAGCGGGCATGAACTAAAGCATGCGCGACAAAATGCTTGTACATTACATACACGAACACTACCGGCTAATTTCTAGCACTGATATAATTTTCTTTACGTATTTTTATGGACCTGATTGAATTCAGTATCCACACGGACCACACCGTATTTTATTGTTCGCCAAAACATACATAAAGAGCTCTGCAGATAAAAAACCTTTTTCTTGTACCAAACGATCGCTGTATTAATTGTGCCCGCAAATTCCCACTGTCGGAAAAATCAACCAATAAAAAAACCAGTAATTTGTCCAATAAAGTTGTATCTGGGCAATCGTAGATTCACAACAGGAAGCAGTCTGTGGTAGCCATAAAAAAGTTTCAGAGGGAGTAAAAAAACCGTAGGAGTATCTATGTTATAATAGGATAACCGTCTTTCTTATACTTGAATTGTAAATAAAGTAACAAGTCCGGCCACAGTCAAACATGCAAGATAACATGCAAGACATTAATAAAACTGTCAACCGGAAGTGTGCATGCAGTACTAATTGGCGCATTGATCTTAATAGGAAATTCTGACTTTAACCTTCAATACATAATTATAATCAGTTTTGTTTTCATCCTAAGCATCGCGTACAACAATAGGCGGAAAAAGGGACTGCGGAATGCTGCACGGTTTCCATTCCGTTTACATTGCGCTTCCTGGGTGTATCTTCCAGCCTTCCAGGGAATCTCCCCGCTGTTGTAAATCCATCCATTGGGTCGTAATCTCTTTTACAAGCTCATAAAAGTTTGTTCTCACGGAGCATTGTCTGTTACTAAAGGGCCCGGTTTTACCATAAAACACCAGCATCATACAACGCCCTACGATGAGAGGCGAGGAATTCTACTTGCATACAGGTATCTTCTATGCATCTTCTTTTGCATCGTACGCTTTTAACTCTTAAGCATCCTTCAGCTCGTCCAACCAATCATTTTATGGCATAATATCATACAAAATCTAATGCCAACGGCAACTGTTACTTGCACACGATGAAAGATCGTTCGTATTTCACTAAACTCAAAGAAAAAAGAAAACATTTCTTGTGTAACACCTTGGTATTTGTATCCTTACTGATGACACTGACTACGAACAAAAAACCTAAAAATCCCGCCAAACTTGCAAACAGAAACAGGCTTCATAACATCCGCTCTAAGAGAAATCAATTTGTGATGGAAATTATGGAATTCATCCGTACGGTTCATGGGGACTCGCGTCAGCCTTCGAATTCAGTGCTGTCGTTGCGTACAGGTGCGCGACGACTCACAGCCGGGATAACGACGTCGGTATACCTGATGTGCGTCATCGCGCACTTATTAAACTTTTAATTCTGCGCTTGACACTATGTGTCCATGATTCGAACACGTCATGTGACGAAAATTGTTCGAGTATTTCGGCACGTGACATGTTCGAGTCGTGGCTACGTTCCGACCGGTCAAAGGGCTGTTGGTCCATGCATCTCCAGGAAACATCCGGTCGGTTTACCGAAACTCCATTCAAGAAAGAGTACGTTGGCATTAGATGTCGACTATCATGTTTACCGGGAAGTTTTTAACGCTGCGACAAACATGATAGCCAACTGTCAAACGCAGTAGCAAAACCACTTGATTATTGTGGAAGATGCGGGCTTTGGTACTCCAACGTCATCCACATCTTCCGCTCTGTGCTTCGTAAGGAATATGCGGAAGTAGCAATCCGTCTGGGCACTCACAGAAACGCAGTAAGCAAGAAAATATAATGCAAATGTTGCGAACGGAGACAAGTCAAGACTGAGCAGAAAAGGAAGAAATGGTCAAATGGCAGACAGAAAACTGCCTTCGTTCGCATCGTCATCTTTATCTGCCACTTAATCTTTAAAATGTAAACATTTTTTTGCGACACACTCATCACACACCAGCGGCATCACGACAACATTGACCTGCTGGGCAGTGCGCGTCGCGAAACCGGTATCAGCCATTTTTTTTATAGACAAGCTTGGCAGTTGGCACATGTTGTTTGATATGCTTTTCTCTACATTCCGAAACTGATAGCCGTTTCAATTTCCTTCACTGTACTCCTCGATTGATGACAACCATTTCAACTCGGCTCGATTCGGCGGGACGGTTCATTCAGATTCCGGGACTATCAAATATCAGCAACCCGCTTGTATTTACTATTTACGCAACTACTTGTAGATCTGTTCATATATGTAGCTAAATTTTCCGAGATATTCCACCTACAAGTATTTTCGATAACTGGTGAGACGGTGACGTTAAAGAAGGTGCTGGGATTTCGAAAACTGAAAATTTTACACCAGCTGCGAAAACGTTTCTGCATGGCAGCATTTTGGTGAAGAATCATGATTTTTACGGTTGTTATTTTAGTATCATTAAATCTATCATCTCGCCACCGCAGCCGCGGAATACCAACAAATAACATAACAGCAAGGGAGTTTTTTTATTTTACTGATAACGCACAATTAACAGGGAATATTTTGGTGTGGGTTTAATAATTGACTTTTCTCCATGCTTACCAGATCGTTCCATGAACAAGTACAAGCCCATCCGGAAACAAGAGCATAAGTGACATTAAGTGTACCCGCGAAATATGTGGGCTGCGTCAAGTAACGTAGAATGATTACTGTAGTGCAGTGGCCACAGTCACAGATAACGTTATTAACGATTACAAAAATCCACCAGCAACCAAGTTGACTGAACCAAGCTGATACCCTAAAAACTTTAAGTTACCACACTTTATTAACCTAACTACGTTTAATTATTTATATAGCTTTATTTATTTAACTTTTGCAACCTGCTGCCAATTTGATGTTGGCGTAACATGCCGTAGTTTGTCTAATACCTCATGCCCATGCTTTTTATTTTTCCCGCATACACTTATGCTTTTGTTTCCGGATGGGCTTGTACCTCTCGAGTTTTCTTAAGTCTTAACTAAATAGCGCGGTAATTTGTGCACTGAGATTGGAATATTTTTCATTACTGGCGTGTCATTCCTTTCTTCATCGTTTGTGTGTTACCGTCAAGTTACAAGTTACTTGCTTACTACTGGCGGTTACAAATCATGCATCCAACCGCATCCATAGATTCATCCATTCAAGCATGCCCGATATGATGATAAATATTTATGTATTTCCCGGTGCAATGTGCATATGCCACACATGGTTCTATAATAAGCGTATTCCAGCACGTACCACTTTGTTTAGGTAATAGGCACATACGCTAAGCGCTTATTAAACGCTTATGAGTTGTGATTCCTTGCTGGTTTCGAGTTTCTGTGTTAGCTTTCTCCTTTACATTCTGTACTCATCTTCTGCTATCGAGTGTTCTTCAGCGTTGTTCTGCCATACCACACGGGTCCCACTTGGATTACGATGGACCCTAATACACAAGCGGTAGAGCCAATTTGGGGATGGCAGAGTGAACTATGCACGATTGCCGACAGAGCGAAACATATTTTCGGGAATGATATTTTGAGCGATGTCACATTCCGGATTCAACCGCCAGACAGCCTCGGTGTCGACATCAAAGCACATAAGTAAGATTTCACTGGACTCTTTAGCACAATTATGTTTGGTGCATACTTCAGCCGTAATCCGGAATACATAAGAAATCATACAGCAATCGCAGAAAAAGATACATAAACGAGTCAGCTTTGTTGTAGCATGGTTTGTTACGATTCTCCAAAGTATGGACGCGAACAGTCGTACCGTAAGAAAAATGCTGTGATTTTGTTGTAAATCGGAAGTCTGTTGTAGAAGGTACACATACAGAAGGAAGCTATATATATATCTATATATATATTTTTGCTTTTCTCCCTCTCTACGACAATGCCAGCGAACTGACCAATGAATATTTTTGTCGGTCACTATATATATACTTTTATTGTTCTTTGTGTGCAGCTCAATAGTCCGTAGATGCAGAAATACGCGTACTGGATACCTTACTGAATATCTCCGTTATTTGACAATGTACCTTAAAATAAATAAAACTTGTTCCTTCCGCCCTTACTAAGAATAAGCGGGATATCTCCGCCTATCGCGTCTCTGCTGGGTTGTCATTCGGTTCTAAAAATTGGTTGTGGTCAAAATATGGCCAGAAAGTGTTCAGTAAAGGGTTATAATGCACTGTATTGCATGGACAACTGGATGTTACAGATTGCTACTTGCCATGGGTAGTGAGGTGTTTGCAACGATGTTTTACGGTTCAATGAAAGAGACGGAAAAAATTGTTAAAATTACGGATATGGACTCCGAGACATTCAGAATTGTTTTGCGGTACGGTACTTACATGTATGTCAGCGGCAGGAGCAACGTCGTTTACTCTCCTGGTTAATAATGATTTTGTATACCTTGCAGATGCATTTATTACGATCAGATCGGGCCGTTTAACAAATGGACCGCATTTTCGACCCTGTACGCCGCGAAAAAATACGGTATCCCAGTGCTGAAAAACGCTTGCGAACAGTACTTGAAACAGAATGTGGCTGCCGATAATTGTCTGGCTTGGTTTATCCAGGTAGAGTAATTTTAAGTGCATCCTAATTTGCTTGAATCGTGTACTTATATGTTCAGGTTTATTGCGAGTACTAATTTGCACTGTGAACGGTATTTGATGTAGGCGCGGCTGTACGACGAAATCAACTTGGAGAACGCCTGTATGGAGAAGATCGATTTATATGCAGCATACGTATTGCAATCCGCAGACTTTCTGGAAATTGACCTGGAAGTGTTGAAAATAATTTTATGTCGTGAAACTGTGAAGGCTAAAGAGGTGGATGTATGCAATGCAGTTACGAAGTACGTACGGCGTCGACCATTGAATAATGTTCATTTTGACTTCGTACGGATGCTAAAACTACAGGTCTACCGTTTATTTGAACCGTAAAAGCAGATGTCGATAAATTACAGTAGTTTTTTTCTTTAAACGGCAGATGGGCTAAGCATCAATGTGAGCAGAAAGAACTCGATCCCACCGGAGCCAATCAGCGATCAGTTTTAGGAGAAGCACTGTTCCTGATAAGATTCCCTACTATGACCTCCGAGGAAGTCGCCAGTGGACCAGCCAAGGTTTGTTGCGCTTATAACGTTCAATGGTTACTCGGTGCTTTTTAAATTTATTGATCAAGTTTTTTAACACCGCTAATTGTTTAACGCGATTTTTAACGTTGTATGCATATATCCAATCAAATTATCCATTACCCAAATTGCATACTGTAAGACTTACGGCAAAACTGACTTCCATAATAAGGGTCCAATAGAGAAAGTAAATTATGAACTACTACTCGCAACATTTATTATTCGGCCGTCTTTCCGGTCCGGAATGGCGGACAAATAGCATTTCACTTTTGTTTCTCTTTTTATCATTTTTGTTGTGTTACAAGTACTACTGAATACTTTATACGGTTCATTTCCTTTGCAGTCAGGCTTACTACTGGCCGAAGAGATCAGCCAGCTTTTTCAATTTTGGTACGCTAAAACGCAATTACCCGAAAAATTCGTCAGCCGAATAAGAGTCGGCAGTCACAAGGAGGTGACTGTCTCCAGGTTCGAGAGCACGAACAGCTCTCAAAATTGGACATACATGGCTGGTTTCCCCGATGTCATCAAGTATTCACTGCCTCGTATTACGTACAGACGTTTTGTACTTGAAAAATTGGAACGATGGTATATTTAGATTTTTTCAGGTTTTCTATCACATCCACCGCACAACCTTGCAGCGATGATTTGGTACTCATACACAGTTAATTGAATACTGCTTTCCACTCTCCTCTTTACAAGAATAGAGCCACTTGAACAATTTTTATTATTGCAGAACGAGGCGACGGTCCACCTGGTGGCTGTTGGTGTGTTTGTCCAAAGCCCACTTCCGGAAGGCGTGGAATGCACTGCAACTATGAAAATATTCGTTTATGAAATGGCCGACCCCAATGGATATCGGTGTTTAAGAGACCACCCGAGAGAGCTGAAAGATTTTCGCCACACGTGGACCATCCCGGGGAAGAAGCATTTATCTGTTGCAAAGTTCAAACTGAGAAACCCCTTCCCGGTAGAGTTCGGAAAGCAGTACGCTCTATCGCTGCAAACGTCGGTAAGTGGGGAGCTGTCTGAGTAAAAAAACAGATCTAAACTCCAGGCTTGGTTTGGGCATGTATGAACACGATAAAATTTTATATGCTATTGTAGGGCATGCAACGATCTTTCTACGGCTCCAACGGGAAAGCAGTTGTGAACACTTCTGGAATCTGCCCACTCTCAGTACAGTTCTCTGACGCTCTAGATCCAGAATGTATGCATCCTGCCTTAGTTATAGAACTATTCGCTTTTCGCATGGTTACATAGTGTTGTATTTAAAAATCTGGATTTTCATGGTTTTAGATGACGTGGTATACGGTTCGGGTTATCACTCGTACAATGAAAGACAAATTGGCTATAATGCACATACCCGAACTAGCACCTGCGGGACAACAACTTTTGCTAACGGACAATTTCCTCAGCTATATTTTGAAACATCCTAACGCGTTGGTATTCCGGTCGTACTTGACCAGCATTTGCTTGTAGATACATCAACTTTCACGTTGCTGTTTTTCAGAAGTACTGCTTTGCACTTTTTCTTTATCAGTTCTGATCGCTGACATTCACTGTGCGGGCATTTTCGGAAAACAGGTTCTTACAGGGCGCAAGAACTACTTGCGGTTGTTTAATTTCTTTTTTGTTGTGGCTGTCTATGAACGGCATGGATTTCTATCACACTTCATTTCATTGCTGCACATGACAAAGTACTGTATGCGCTGGAAACAGTCAGTGAAGTTGTAAAGCCCACGCATCAGTGCGTTACATCCGTATAAAAGATGGTAGTTGATACGTACTGTATTTCGAAAATGCAGCAAATAAATTTCTCACTTTCATCTCAGTAGCCATACACTGCAAAATTAGTAACAGTACTAGACAGTACTAAAGCGCAAATTTTGCAAACCGGTCGCTGTGTGGATCCTTTAGTAAAACCGCACCCTTCGATGTGTGTTTGATCAGTTCGATAAAAGCCATACACTGCAAAGGCTTCCCGGCGTTCCCGGTTTGGAAATGCAGGTAAACTGTTTTACATTACTTTTTGGAGCTGTAATATAAGGAAAAACCGCTTTACTCAAACCATTTCCCTGGTCTCCTACCGACTACCGTCACCCGGCTGGAGTGTGACGTTGTAGCTAAACATGGCGCTTAAATATGTGCCGCGCCGGATCTAGGCATACGTACATATTGCCATAACGTCACACTCCAGCCAGGTGATGGCAGCAGTGCCGTGAAATGATACGACTAAAATGAATTTCCCTCTTATATGTGTACGTAGATAAAATTTTTACCAAAGCGCTGCCAGAGAAAATACAAGGCGTGTGACCGCATGCTTATAATATATATATAGAACAGGCTCTAGCAAATACTTTTATGGGATGTGATTGTCTTCAGAGAGAGAAAACAAAGAGCACCTTGTCGGTTTATGGAAGATTGCGCGCAAGTGGACATTTCCGTGTATTATGCGGTTAACTTAATCTTTTGTAAATATACCGACGATTCTGAAACGCACCCCTTTTAACGCTGGTGTTAGATCAGACTAGGTTTTCCTGCTCCTTTTCATAGGAAGTATGTTTCCTATTATCCGAAATTGTGCTATGACATTACAATATGCCAGAGTAACAACATCCTTACCCGTAACTGAAGCCCATGAACTGGCATTTCGGGGGGGTTACATTTTTGCACCATCTTATGGGGGCTTCAATTACGGGGGAGGGATATAATTCGATAATAACGGTTATATATCTACGTATTTTCATAACCGCCGAAGAAAGTGCCGGTAACGTAATGTAACCGGTAACTTGCCGTATATGTACAAAAATTACAATTGGTGAGTTTGTGTGGCATGTATTTGGAGTGATGGCAACTCGTTGCCGATACTGCGTTCGTTTTGATGAAAAGTTGTGGTATTAGATAAATCGTGGACTGGTTAATCGTTGTACTTAAATTTTACGAATTTTGGACGGTGAGTTAAAGAATAATTAACAGAGTTTGTTATTGCTAAATGTAAGCACACGAACTCACCAAGCATCTGTTTAAGGGTGATGCCGGCGTGACATGGATGCACTGCGACTGCACAGCGCAGATATAGGCCGCTCGCAGTGACCTCAATGGCCGTACTACAGCCTACCCGTACCTGGGTTTTTTTATGAGGAAGTGGTCGTATCGCGCAGGCTGTATACCACTGCGTATACGCGTATACGAAATATCAAAATTATAAACCCCGGTTTGCTTGTTCTTCTGATTTTCATTTTGCTGATTTGCTGATTTTGATAAGCTGATTTTTGTTTTGTTTGGTTTTCTCCTGTTGTGTCTGATTTGGTGGAATCATAAAAGTTGATTCAGTTTTGTGAAATTCATGGAAATTTATCGTGGAGAGGAATGGGTTTTTTGTCATTGAATTATGAATATATTATATGATGAGACGCGACAAGTGTAAGAAATAATAATCGTAATGCATTCATTTGAGAATATTAATGTGAGTATTCCGTAAAACAATAATTATTAGGGTAGGTAATTATAAATATCTTGAATATAGAACTCAAAATTTATACAGTGAAATTGCACACATACTACCTGCAGTTTGCCTGCTGTTAATATTACTATACCTACTAGCAGTAAATAACAGCACTGTACTGTAACTGTATGATGGGCTTAACTGGTTTCGTTTCCGGAACGCAGCGACCGCCGATAAACTGTCCCGCTGTTGCCCAACCGAGATGATCATCAGTACTTTTGTCGGCGCCATATGCCGGTAAAGCGCATTGTTCGTCCAGAAACCAGTATATGTTGCTGATGCGGCGCGGTACGTATCTTCCCAGGAACCTCCTGCTGTGGTGGACCCCTTCACTGGGGCATCAGTTTTCATTAATCAAAGTAAAAGTTTATCATTAAATGCGGAGCGTTGTATAATGATAAAACATTTACTATAACGCCGCCCGACGACAGGCCCTTGAGAATCGTCCGTTCATTTTGACACGATCTTCCACTTCTGGAAATGTCCAGCATGAACTTGTCCAGCAAATATATGTCGGAAAGAGACGGAAAGCACATACCTTGGAGAAATTCTCGTATAGTGATTAATTTAATTTAGAATGGCTTTCCAGGCTCAGCGATACTGACTGTGGGAAACATTCTTATTTAAAACGATTCGCACCGCACCGCTGCATTTCGTAAAAGTTCGGTACGGTTTTCATTTCGGTACGGTTTTCATGGTTAATTTTAATCTCTCTTGATGCGTTCATTTGCCGATATGTTTTTACGGTAAAACTTTAGGTGAATATTAAGCCAGCTGTTAAGTTGTAATTGTAGACAATACGCTATATGTCATATATGTACCCTACATCGAACTATAAAAAAATAACAAAACAGTTCCTTCAAATTTCGAATTTACACGTTGTTGTTTACTTACTGGTGAGTAATAACATTGATTTTGTGACTCTCGATGTTTTCTACTGCGGAATTGCAGTAGATTTTGATGTTTTTTTTTGCTAAAGAAACATCAAAATCAACCGCGATTCCGTCACACTTAAAACAGACGTGAGCTTCCACTTAACGACGATCCACTTAATTAATGACAATATTATATAAATCAGATCCATGCTGAATGTTGTGCGGATGAATCTTAGTGGCAAATTTGGGATTCAGGCGTGTATACCATTCAGCAAGAAATCTGCATCGGCTGTATACAATAGTAGAACTGTCCGAATTCTGAATCACAACCAAGCACAGGTATCAAATGCACAAAAATCAGGATAATTACTTTGTACTGTTTCATACAGTACGCACTGTGCTGTATTGTACGCTCCCCAACACACGATCTAATACGGTAACAAAGACTGTACAGTGTACAGAGATAGTGAATCGGAGAGTGTACAGATAAACGCAACGCACTCCAGCCAGCATGCGTAGGACTACGGACATCCTTGTACAGGTGCATCATGTGGACCAAGTGTATATCGGGATCAGGACGCCATCAACATGGTAATGAAATATTTCGTCACAAAACATGATACTGTAGATTCATGGCTCCGTCCCGATCGGTCAAAAGACTGTTGGGGTCCTGTACATCCTTTTAAACCGGTCGGAATGTAGACAACAGTTAGACCAGGAAACATTCCCAGGAAGCATCAGGGTGGTTTACCGAAACTCAAGTCAAGAATGCGCATGTCGCGACAAACGACACACGACAGTCAAACTACATATGCGAATTTCTTGAATAAAGATTGGGAAGATGCCGGCTTTCAGCAATAACACCTACAGTACCTCAATCTGTGCTCCTTGAGAAAGTTGCGGCAGCAGTCAAGTCAGCCGTATGACTTGTAGTAAAAAATAATATGTAACACAAACATTGCTTAACTAAACGAGACAAGCCACATTAGGTTCTTGGGCACAGTCACAGCAGCTGTTCTGCTTCAGCAGCTTGAAGCAAATGGCGCAACGTACCGTAACTGACTCAACACTAGTGATCGAGGTTTTGGAAGAAAGGAAAGAAGCGATAGAGAGAAAACTACCTACATTCACATCGCGATCGATCACCTTCTCTTATCACTTGAATTTCCCGTTTTAATCTTGAAAACAAAAACACGGCTTTGTAATTTTTCTCTCTAGTCTCTACATTTTGATATCGATGAACTTTGATACTGATAAACGCTTCGAATTCTTTCGTCTCGCTTTCTATTCGGTAGCTGGCAGCCAAGCAAACGCGCCGCGCATTCCATGGAAGATGATTTATTTCGATTTTTTGATTATCCGCTAAACCGAACGCTAATCTGTTGTTGCTGCATTCCTGACGTTCACTGGCAAAATATTTAATACTGTCACATAATGATTTTTATATAGATAATTAAGCGACGGCTCTGATTCACGTTTATGATGTTGCTACTGTTTACTGATTCATTTGAGCGATATGCTCACTCGTGCTATCTGATAGCATTCTTTTCTACTTGTTTGCCTACAAATACTGCTGTTTTTCACTTGTACTTCAATAGATGCATGCATTCAGTACCACTTCCGACAGTACACTTTGTACTTCTGTCTGATTTATTTCCTATTAACAGTTCCCTGCCTCGCGTTGCCTTTCCGCTTACCGTTGATGCATATTACCATATATTAGAATACCGACCGGTTTAGCCGTGCTGTGACCTTTAATTACTTTGCTCTGCCATAAATTATGTAACAAACTGGTCCGACGACTGAGAACCGGTGCCAACTTCCGGCGTTTGACTTTACATGAGCGGTAAAACAAAGCTAATGCTAAGCGGTTCTATGCTGCTCACGGTCGGTGGAGTTCCGTAGCAAACGGGTGCCAACTTCCGCGTTGTTCCATCAACACATTCCAAATTTCACCGTCGGTTCCATCCGGGTTCCAACCGTGTGCTCCGGAGAGGGAGTCCGGACGCCGATTGTTGATCCATCCGAGTCCTCGGCGGTCGTACGCGCATTGGCGTAGACGGGATCCTGTCGGACGGTGTCCGAAGGACGGCAACGCGGCGTCATGGGGATATCCACCGTCCGTGTGGGTATATCCCGAGACAAGTTCCGGTCCGGGTGTTCCGTAGCGGTTGCGGTGACCGCGTTCGTTTCCTGCCGTCGAGGCTGGAATTTTATCCGATTTGTTGAATGGGAGCGGACGTAATGAACAGATGCTCTTTCGTCGCACGTTCGTTCCATTTTTTCTTCAACCGTAAAGCTGAGTTAATGTAGATGGTCACGAATGTGGATCTCTCCTGATTTTAGTTGGAACAACTGTCCCTCG